TTCTTTTTTCTTACCTGCCAACAGGGCGGTAATTTTCTTCTGAGCTTCACCTATTTGGTCTTTCGTTTCATTAAAAGCTTTCTCCATTGGTATTTTCATTTGCTCTGTTGTCTCAACCAAAGTTTTTAAAGCAGGAACAACCAGCGCCAGCACTATTGAATCCATCATTTTTATGATCTGTTTTGAAGTGGAAAATTTGCATGGGAATTATATATAGAAGGAACACAACTTCTATATATATGGACACCGAAGAGAAAAGGGTTGGGTAAATAAAATTTTGAGTGAGTAAAAGGTTGGGTAAATGAAAAACAAAACAACTCAAGGGTTGGATAATAAAAATATATTGTCATTTCCAAAGCATCATTCAGTCAAATATTGAAGACTAAGGCCCCAGTTAGATGATACCGGATTCGCATCGGAGCGACATCAAATTTTACTGCTTCGAGGTGAATTTGGCACTTGAAATTATGATACTATAACAAAATTAAACAAAAGCTTCAAATATAAAAACTAAGGAGTTGTAAGAGCAAACAAGACTGGAAAACACCTTAAATTGATGTCGCTCCGATACGAATCCGGTATCGCGGCTTTCAAAGCAATGTCAACAGTCATATACCAATACGACATATATAAAAACTCAGTCAGAATCACTATCTTGATCATTTTCCAATTTGTCAGGAGGCAAATGGTGTCTCCAAAGAAAGTACATGTGCAGACGACACGAATCTTTAAACTGCAGAATATTACACAAACAGTTTTCAACTCAACATGTGTGACAACTGAATGGTATCCTCTTGCAAAGTTTTTGGCCAGGGGTGGGTAGTTATTAATATCTTTAATTGATAGTGAGGTTACATAGTAACCAAGGTTAATATCATAGGAACCGCGCGCAGTCTGGGTACGACAGGTGCCCTCAGGATATCGGATATAGAGAGTGCCAATCAGACTCTCAGATCATTAGCTAATTCATAGCCAACTGCAATAGTAATCTGCTTAGAGAGGAAGCCAATATTTTTTTATTCATGACGGCAATTGACTTCGGTTTAATTTCCATGTATGAAAATTATTTAATTTCCATGTATGAAAAGGTATGATCTTTCTGTAGTCGCTGGGAGCAAATACTGACATCGCATATATTATGTAAAATTGTAAATACTTAAAAATAATTGCGTTTTAACTGAGTTTCCCTTACATAGATGATTATCATCATCAAAATAAGGCAAATTGTTAATTTAATAGATTATTAGCATTAAAATAAGGGCGAGGACACGTTCGTCGTGAGTAACGTCTGTTCACAGGCTAGGACATGTTGGTTTTTAGCGGATTTCTCACATGGTTAAACATGGATAAAATCATGCACATTATAATATAACTTTATAAGTGCCTCCAAAGCGCTGGGAATGCCGTTTCAGTGTACCAAAATTTTGAATAAATAGAATTTTTCTCTTCATGCAGTTCCACCCTCCGTCATGAATAATGACCAGCCCCTTAACGAACTATCATCAGTGAGTGCACGTTACCTGACTCCGTAATTTCTTTCGTATAGTATAATTTTCAGTTAAATCACTGTAGACACTTGAAAGCACTCGACACTCGATAATTTCCACGAGTGTCTCGCTCAAGATCTAAAAATAAATGATTTAATTAAAAACCTTGCATAATTTGCGGTCCAAGTATCTATAAATTATGCCTATGCCTTAGAAATTCAATTCGCGGTGAGAGTTGAGATAAGAGTTGACAAGCGAGAGTTTTTCACGAGCGTTTTTTTCACGTCAGACGAGAACAAGGGTTGCATGAGCACTGACGAGGGTTGCTAAGCAGCAAAAACTCTCACCAAAATTTGAACAAGCTCAACATTTATGATAATTGATGAGATTTGGCGGACAAACGCGAGTAAGAGTTGCAACTCCTCCTCAAGTCCTCAACTTACCTGTTCTTCAGTTCCACCATTTGGATCAAGTCTTTTATACCAACTCGATTCACGACATGCTTTGCGAAATGCAGTTTTAAATGCCGCTTGTGCCACTGGGTCTTCGTTCTTGAAACCTGACGTAAAAGAGTCACTAGAAATTAGTTTTGTAGCTCTGTTAGTTCTAAACTGTTCTCCTTGGAGGTCCAGTAGAGATCGTCTTTTATTGATCCACTAGTGTTACCATGGGAAAAGCTAACTTTGTTTACACTGGATAGCTCTATCAGTTCTAAACTGTTCTCCCTGGAGGTCTAGTAAGGATCATCTCTTATTGATCCAATGTTACTACAGGAAGAAACCTAAACTAAACTAACTTTATTCATGTTGGATAGCTCTATCAATCCTAAACTGTTCTGCTTAGAGGTCCAGTAGGGATTATCTCTTATTGATCCAGTGTTAATTAAAACTAACTTTATTTATACTAGCTCAGTCTAGCTGGATAGCTTTATCATTTTTTTTTTGCAAAGGCAAACTTTGTATCAGTTCTAAACTGTTTGCAAAGGCAAACTTTGTATCAGTTCTAAACTGTTCTCCCTAGAGGTCCAGTAAGGATTATCTCTTATTGATCCAATGTTACTACAGGAGGAAACCTAAACTAAACTAACTTTATTCATACTGAATAGCTGTATCTGTTCTAATCTGTTCTCCCTAGAGGTCCAGTAAGGATCAACGAAACTGTGTCTGAACTAATCGTCTTCCAACAAACGCCTGCTACACTGACGGACTGAGTCAAACTGGAAGTACTCTTCTTACATGGGGCTGAGGTGAAATTATAATCAGACAACCGTAAATGCAGGAAACCAAGCCCGATGACAGAAATGAAAATCACGTGTTCTTGCTTATATGGAAACTGACTCCTATACCTTTAGTCTTTCTGCAACATGTTTTGAACATCTCGACCCATTCCTTCTTCTCGTCTTCGTCCGCTGCCGTGATGAAATAATTTCGTCTTCTCTCGTGTGACACTGCAAGGGTGTGAGGCGGGAACTTCTCGGGCAAAGGCAAACTTTGTTCATCTATCCCCATCTTCTTCGCTAAAGCCTTGAGCTTCTCAATTTTGTCATTGTCAGCACTTTCAGCCACCTTGTACCCCGCCAAGTGCATAACTCCTTTCGGTTTTACGCCTTTATTATACGCCTGTGGAATATTTAAATGTAACATACTAGCCTAAAAACTGTAATAAATCAAAAGCTTATCTAGTCTTAGGACCTGATCGAATCTTCATCCAGTCCTAGGACTTGATCAAAACTTCATTCAGTCCTAGGACTTGATCAAAACATCACCCAATCCTAGGACTTGATCAAAACTTCATCCAGTCTTAGGACTTGATCAAACTTCATCCAGTCCTAGGACTTGATCGAAACTTCATCCAGTCCTAGGACTTGTTCGAAACTTCATTCAGTCCTAGGACTTGATCAAAACTTCATACAGTCCTAGGACTTGATCAAACTTCATCCAGTCCTAGGACTTGATAAAAACTTCATCCAGTCCTAGGACTTGATCAAAACTTCATCTAGTCCTAAGACTTGATCAAAACTTCATCCAGTCTAACTAACCTCTTCCGTTTCGTAATAAGACACGGAGAAATCTGGGTTCACGACAAAATATCTCTGTTTCCAATTTTTTATGATCGCCCCTTTTTTTGTTAATTGTCCCATCTTGTGAGGCTCTGTACATTTAGCATCCTGTGAAAATTAAACACGACGAAGGCTGAATCAGCGTATTAACGCCCAACAGTCTCCGTGGATAAGTAACATCGTCTAGCTTTCGCTTTGAACAGTAAGCTGTGATAAATTTGCTGACTTTCACTGCCGTATTTTCAAACGAAGACAACTTAGAATTCCCTTAATTATTATCAAGTTTGCCCATTTCACCCATTGCATTGCATTGCATTGCATTGCATTGCATTGCATTGCATTGCATTGCATTGCATTGCATTGCATTGCATTGCAAAGATCACTTAAAAAGACTATATAAACTCTTTGATAGAATACTTGTAGCTCTCTTCCTTCTCAGAAATCCTTCCCGAGATGTTCAACTTTGTTGGATATGCAAATATATAATCAGTACGACATCACACTGCATAATGAGTTTCTATTATAGAGTGTTTATCTTGTGGGGTAACGATTACAGATATTTAAAATTGTGCTGTTATGTGCATAAACCTATGCACATAAAAAATACGTGCTTTCATGTGCATTTAAACCATTAGACCTCCGTATCTGTGTGTGAAATATTTTAACCAATTTCAAAATGAATGATACTCTTTAACAAATCTCATTATGCAATTGTCATGCTGATGATATTTGCATATCAAACAAAGTTGAATATCTTCGGATATAGTCATTTTAAGTGATCTTCAATTCGCAATGAAACCAAGAAAAGATTGTACAGTGAAATTTCATGCCAAAAGCACTTTACTGTAAAGATTTTGAAGCATCTCATTGCGGATAATTTCCAACGCAAATAATTTCTATACATTTTTAAACTCTTTTATTGTTTTGCGAGTGTTACCTTTCTGTACATGAGCTGCTTCTCAGTCTCAGCGTCGCCAAGAGCTTCTTCATTAATCTGTCTCATTTTCATCTTTGTAAATTCCGCTCCGTAAGCCAACACATATTCCGTGCTGAATGTCCTTACAAACTCGTTCGCAATTTCTGTAATTATGCATTAAAAGCAGAAACTAAACGAGGGGCGTATAGGAGCTCTGGAAATTGAAAGGGCCAGCGGCCAACCAAGCACAAAAGAAGAAAAAATGGAAAAGGAAAAAATGGGGGGAAGCTATTCCGGTCGCCAATGGGGGAGCGTGATGAATATCATGGTTCCGATAAAGTCTGGTTTCCTTATGGTCGTAAAATAGTCACAATCTTTCTCAACGGCCAGTTTATAATAGTTTATTATATAAAGTATAGTGCTTTATAGAGATTTCGAGCACTGATAAAACTGATAATCTCACCGATGTGAGATTATTTATGATAATTTCACATGTGAAAATTATCGCTTTTCAATTATCATTTTCTGTAAAAATTATCGCGTTTCAAAGACTGACCTTTATATAATAAACAGAAAAATACATGGGTGTCTGCCAACAATTAATCAAGTTAGGAGTGAAATACGATATACTATTTATAATCCCCTCGTTATGCAGGACATCCTTGCTTTGTTTTAAAAATTGAAGACTGCTGCATCTTTTCCAATCATGTAGCATTAATTTTAAACGTTTCTTTGCGCCATTTATTTTAGCCAATCAGCGCCGTGACACTGCCCCTTTAAACACCCATGTTTGTTCATATTTTGAAGTCGCGAACGCGAGTTTCATCACATATATGCGACACCGTAAACCTCCGACTATAAGCCATGGGCTTATATACCACCCGTTCCGCACGTTGTGCGAAAAAATTCCCCGGAGGGGTAGCTGGCCGGGTTAGGGTTTGCGGTTAGGTTGCGGGGTTAGCAGGTGGGGTTAGGGGTTAGGGGTTAGAAGGTGGGGTTAGGGTTAGGGGTTAGAAGGTGGGGTTAGGGTTAGGGGTTAGGATTAGGGTTAGGGTTTGAGTTAGAATTAGCGCTTGGATTAATTGTAAATCCATTGTAACCAATACTTTATTGCATACAATGGCATTACAACGCCAATAAATTATTGGTTACAACGTGCGGAACGGCTG